TTGGCGATGCGGTGTTCGCGAGAAATTACGCTGTTGGGTTGCAGTGGCTGCCTGGGGTGATCGTCGGCACCGATGGCCCGGTGTCTTACGTGGTCCGTTTGTTTGATGGCAGGCTTTGGAGACGGCATGGTGACCAGCTGAGGAGGCGGCAGTCAGCTGAGCCGATCAGTCCGCCGGAGGCGGCGTCACGGGAGGTCCGGCGGCCGTCGTCCGATGCTGCTGTCCAGCCCGGGCGACCAGGTGGAGCGTCTCAGGGGACTGCACCGCCGGCACCGCTGTCGTCCGCCGTGCAGCCGTCGCAGTCGCGGCCGGGGGCGCTCACTCAGCAGCCGCCTCCGCCCAATGTTCGGTCGTCGCCGACGCGGCCGGGGGTACCGGCTCAATCGTCGCATCGGCCGTCGCCCGTCTCCGCCCCGTCGTCACTCGAGCCGGGTGGGCCGCCGCAGCCGTCGGCGGACGTTTGGCCGTCGTCCGCTCCGGGAACGTGTCCGGCGCCGAGCTCACCGGATGGGACTGGGCCTCATCCAGAGGTGGCGACATCTGTGGAGCGGACATTGCGGCGCTCGACTCGAACGCGGAGAGCGCCTGAGCTATATCAGGCAGGGAGTGGGATGTGATGGCCTGTTACCTGTACTAGTGTTACGAGGAAGTGCTTAGTTAAGGAAGGGGGAGTGTAGTGTATTGCTCTGCCTTGATGCTCTATTGCTCTGTCACGGATCGGTGAGGTCACGGCTTGCCGTGACGTCAGCGCGTATGTGTACTGCCGCCGCGTCTGCCCTGGGGCACGGTGGGGTCGGCCGCGGGCCGGTTGGGGCCGCGGGCCGGAGTGTGCTGGGTGAGCCAATACAGTACAGACCAGTTCGTTACATCCCTACAGGTCGCCAGAGGGGGTGTTGCCGAGTTTTCGCGTGCAGCCGTCCCGACCGTTCGCCAAAGTGGGCGTCGACTATTTCGGGCCACTGTACGTACGTGGACGGCAGCGCTAAAAAGGTATGGGTACTTCTCATCACCTGCGCCACCTCCCGTGCTGTCCACCTCGAGCTAGTTCACTCCCAGTCGACAGCTGACCTCGTCCTGGCCCTGAGGCGGTTCTTTGCGCTTCGTGGGACACCTGCGCTCATCTACAGCGATAACGCGACGACCTTTCGCGCGCTGCTGGGTCAGCTCCCAAGGTGTGTCACCTGGCGGTTCATCCCTGAATCGGCCCCATGGTGGGGAGGCTTTTGGGAGCGCATGGTGGGTGTAACGAAGGCGGCTCTGCGTGCATCGTTGCACCTCTGTCATCTTTCATTTGAACAGCTGTCTGTCGTTCTTTATGAGTTGGCGTTTTTTGTCAATCTGCGCCCCCTCACCCAGGGTGATGGGGAGGACCTGCTCACGCCAGCTCATCTGCTGTTCGGTGTGACCACAATCGATGGTGTTGTGTGCCCGACTCTGACGGAGTCCCCACTCAACAGAGCCTGGAGGCACCGCCGGAGGGTGTCTGACCAGCTGACTCGGCGGTGGAACAGCGAGTATCAGCGCGCGCTCCGCTGCTGGCACCGGTCGCCGCGGGGGCAGCCGAACCGGACACCGGAGGACGGAGGTGGGAGACGTCGTGCTCGTCCACAACGAGGGGCCGCGCGGACGGTGGCCTCTCGCACGCGTGACCGAGCTCCTGGTCGGACCGGACGGCCAGACCCGCGCCGCGATCATTCAACTGCGCGGTCGCCGTATGCGCCGACCTCTCAGCCGGCTATTTCGGCTGGAAGCGGCCCGTGAGGCGCCGTGAACCGGACCCGGATCGGTGGTTAGTCTGGTGACACGGTTGCGACTGTCCCGGTGCGCGCGCGATGCGTTGTTGTGATTTGTTAAGTTGCTGTACCTGTTTTCTGTTCTTTCGAAATCTCGCCCCGATTTCGAGTGGGGAGTATGTGCGAGTTTTCCCCTAAATACTTTCATCGCCGAAAATTACCCCTAAGTGATTGCTGCCATTTTTATTTGGTAACCGGAGTTGAGGCCAGTGGCGCCACACGCAACAATACAGAGTCACCAGTGAGACGCCGTGCTGTTTGTGCGTACCGATGCTACCAGAGGGATACCGACCGAAGATTTAACCGATTTAACTACATTAACGTAACGTAACTTTCAACATCGTTCCTGATAAATTCTGAGCAAATGCGAAGTGCTCGAAGATAAAATCCCAGCACGACTCCAGTTTTTGTTCGACTGCTGTGCGCCGAGTAGAAGTGTATCAGGTCGTTCTTGTTGGTGGGCTTCCGGTACACTGAAAATACAGCCTTGTTGCCCCGATTATGGATGCACGCGTCCAGAAATGCAATAGTGCCATCTTCCTCCTCTTCGGAGGTAAATTGTATCTTCTGATGCACACTGTTCAGCTGCTGCAAAATACAATTTAAATCCACATCTTTGTTGATGATGACCAGAATGTCATCGACATACCGGAGCCAGGTCGTATCGGTACCAGCAATGCTCAGGAAGTGGTCCGCTTCTAATGTCTCCATGAAAAGGCAGGCGAGTACCGGGCTCAACGGCGAACCCATCGCCAGGCCATCAATCTGCTTGAATTCGGTCCCTTCAAATTCCAAAGCCCCAAATTCCACGCAGAGACGTACCAGCCTAACAAAGTCTCCCTTGGCACTGGAAGAGTAAAGAAGTATTTATTGGACTCAAGTACCCGCCAGGTCTTTTATGTCAGCTAGAGAAGAGGGCCGTCAAAATACGAGGTAGAGCTTCAAACGCCACAAGGAATAGCAAGAGGAGGTATCTCAGTCCCAGCATCAAAAGAAGTAGAAGCTGTGGACAATTTTGTAAGGGAAACTATCAATATTTCATCCCCAGCGGGCCTGACCATTAAAAACCTTGTACAAACGAAGAAGAAAGGTTCTACTAATGAGGATAGTGTCGTTTACAAAATTCCTTGTGGTGCATGTGATAAATGTTACGTCGGTGAAACATACAGGGGCATTAAAACCAGGCAAAAGGAGCATAAGAGTGACCTTAGGTACCACCGTCTGTCCAACGCCCTTGTGAACACGTAGATGAAGCGGGACATCTCCCCAACTGGGATGATATGTCTGTGTTGTGTAGGGGTTTGACAAAGAAGCATAGGCAGGCTGTAGAAGCTGCTTATATTCACATCTTTGACAATCTAAATGGTAATGCAGGAAAAGTGAAACTGAGCAGATTTACGGCTGAACTTATTTTGCACGATCTAAAAACTAGAAGTGCGAAGTGAGAAACGACGTGTGTGAAGCATTCCTATTTGAATTTTAATCTGTGTCGCAAACTTTTTTGACAACTGATGTTTAGGCGAATTATTTACATTTTATTTTGTCTTTATGGCTTGAAAAAGATTTATATCGAAACACATGTGTAGCCAACTTAAAGTAATATAACCAAAAACGCTCCCATTGTTTTCCAATTATAATTCAAGCCAATTGTGGTTTTGGTCTCAGTCGCAAACCCCTGAGTCCACGTTACAGTTCTTGGCCCAGCCCATCCACAGCCCATCGATCCTTAATGTTTGCGTGCCCAGCCCAGCCCATAGCCCAGCCCAGGCCATGGCCCATTGGGCTGGCCCGGCCCATGGCGAACACTGGCCTTAACCCGCGCCCCAGTGGCGGTCTCAGCCAACTTCGCCCTAGTGGGGGGGGGGGGGGCAATGTTACCACCCACCTCTAACTCAAAAACTAAGAGAGCTAGAAAGACGCGGTAAAAAGCAGTCGATAGCTCTCAATGCGTACGCTTGAAAGTATTTCAGCCATTTTTCATCTTAGAGCAATATTGGGGTCACCAGAGGTCATCAGAGGTCAAAATTTGCCAATGGTCATCATATTTTTCAGAAAACATGCCGTTATCTCAGGCACTATGGTAGCTAGAAAAACGAATGGAAAAGCAATCGATAGCTTTTGAACTCGTCTTTTGATAAGGTCATTATCAAAATTGACCTCAGGTCAACGGTTTAGCCTCCAGAGGGCAAAAACTCCAAAAATAGCTGTTTTCACGAAAAGTGTTTTTCGACAATAACTTTCGACTACAAAAAGCCACGACATTTCTATTGCCAGCCAGAATCGTGTTCCTCTCGCCGAGACGCGTCGAATGAACTATAATTTGACCTTGAAAGGTTAACTTGAAAATTTGACCTCAGGCCAAGGTCATGACCTGACCGGAAAAGGTCATGTTGCATATCATTCGATGCGTCTCAACAAGACAAACACAATGAGACCATCCCCAGCGTTCTATCTCTTTCCAATCGCGAGTTGTTGGCAAAAATCTGTTTGTAGCCTCAAATGACCTCGGATGACCTTTCTAGAGGCTATCAGCAAAAATGACACCTTGGTCATCACGGGTGGTCCAAATCATAATGATTCTGAAATATTTGGACTGTTCCTATGCGTACACACGGATCTAGCGGCATTTTCATTTTTCTATTTTTGGCATGGGATAACCCAGAGGACCAAGGTCATATGAAGGCAGAAGACTGCTTTTGCTGCGGTGCACTGGAGTGAGTAATAGAACCATACATAAAAGAACCCTAGAACCAACTACGAAGCTCGTGTGATCTGTCAGTCACTTGAGATTGGAAGTTGTATCAGTTTGGCAGTCTTTATGCAACTTGAATCATGTTATGATAGAACATATTCAATGAACGGTACACAAAAAAGGTGTAACGTACTACGTAGGGTGAAAATGCTAATGGGCCACGATGGTGAGAAATATTGTTTATAAGTTTTACTAATGGCAGTGTCTATAGATGTTTATCCATAGACCGTGGTCTATGGATTTACGGTGACCGCATACCGTTTATCCGCATACCGAGATCTATGGATTAAAACTCGCTGTGCAGAGGTTTATGGTTGATCAAGTGCCGATATGGATTGATGGCTCATATGATCCGTCAGCTATGAGACTGGAAAATACTTCAGTTCGACAGTCATTATGCAACACAATCACGTGCACGTGAAATAGCAAGAATAGAAATTATATATTGCAGCTGCAGCATGAAAAACCGGTTTGCATTGCACGTGATCATCTGCAATTATTTTAGGGCCTTTGGCTTGCGGTATTTAACCAGTATTCGGAGAATGTGTGAAAAGCAAGCACAAAGAGCTATTGTATATTTTGACTTACAATAGATCAAAGTAATCGTTTGTTCTATTTGTGGCATCTCAAAAATAGTAGCCCAAAAAAGACATAAACCAGGAAGTATACCTATAATTAATCACTTTGACAGCCACGCAATTTTGTGCAGTTAAACTATAGGCTCTTGTATAACATCTTGAAAGCGATTGTGGGAAGACCATGTTAACAGACATAAGATTCATACAAAAGGTAAGTTTCTTTCTCATTTCAGCATTCTGATTATACGTATATGGCCGATTGAAGATCGCAAAACTTTGCATGGATACTGGCCTAGTGATTCGTTGACATGTCATCACCTAGCTAACCTTGACTCAATAACTACCTCATCTATCAAACATCAAAGGCTGCTGTCTTTGATTTATTATCGCTACGCTTGACATTACAATCATTATCCCGCGCACCGACGGGGCTTGATATCCACCCCCGTCTGAGGTTCTTCGTGACTAGCAAAAAAAAAAAAAAAAAACGCGGTTTGGAGTGCCGCAAAATTTGGCATGACTTGCTACATCAATTGCACACGTGTTAAAATGTGTACCAGTACAAATCTGACCTCCTACCTTCAAAGGTCATATGTCACTAGGTCGCTTTGAATGACCCGACCTTAACTCACTTTTGCAACTTTGTCACCGTGTTGGAGTCACAATAGATGAACGAGTCCTTTGAAGTCGCATAGTGTACATAACTAGATAATAAGACCATAGGTATTAGGTAGGTACCTGCAATTTGTAAACCTCATAATTTTTATATCGATGGTCTAAGGTCAGGTCTACTCGTATTTCCGGATCTCCTCATCATAAGTAAATAGGAAAATATCGCATGACTTATTTTTCCACTGAAACGCGTCGTAAAGGCCAATTATACCATGAATTACATCATTCATGACCAACCTTGACTACGTTGATATTCTGTTTGCTATTGGACAACTGTAAGGTCATGTGCTTAGCAGCTTGACCGGGACTGTTTCAGCGTCGGTGGCAGCCAGTGACGTCGCTGCGGCAGCCGACACTGGTGGTGCCGCTGCTGCTGCTGCTGCTGCTGCTGCTGCTGGGTAGCGGCCACAGAGCGGCCGCAGCTCCGCCGGCGTGCCGCCAGACTCAGGCTGATTCGCACTGTCACACGCTCACTTCGCTAACGAACACATCATTTGGTAAGCTGTGTAAACAATGCATGGTGGACGCAATCTCACTCATTTATTTCTGCTTATTTCATGGCATGCGGGAGTGACAAAATTATCAGGGTATCTATTTTTTCGCCACTTACACATAGGTAGTTTCATTTCCGATGTTAGATGCAGTAATATTGGATGATTGAAATTTGAATGCATGAATGCCCCTGATAGCGGTTCAGTCAACTCAGCAGTGAATTGAGCTTGCAGCCAATCACCAGGTGCTGATTGACTGATGCTTGGCCTCTGCCAGAGGTGGCTTCATTCAATACATTCTTTCGTAAGGCAAAACAAAAATCCTACGTAGGGGAGGGTGGGGTAATTTGGCCGTTTTTTTTTTTAGGAAGCGCTGTAGCTCAAAATTGGCGACATATTTCTGCACTCTCTCAACGCTGGCAGGTGTAGCAACTAGCATTCATTTTACTTTCTTCTACAGTATGCTCAGCTGAAAATGATAGAGCAACTACTTCTACCTGAATTTTGACGTTTTAGAAATTGGCCCGATAGCAGGATTAATTTTTTGACCGGTGGGATGGGGCAAATAATTTGGCCGGTGTTTATTTAACCCGCGTCCCACGGGGGGGGGGCTTTCATAGCCCTCTCCCGTTTTTCTGCAATAACTTCTAAACCGCTTGACGTATCGTCGCCAAACTTTCAGTACCTTCGGCTGCATCAATTTGACACCTTGTGTCATAATTTGAACTTCGTATCTACCATAGATCGGCCGCCGGAAATGACGTCAAAGTGACGTCATGTTCGGCCGATTTCGACGCAAAATATTGAACCACGGGAATCGCTCCTAACAGCTCAGTTTTTAACCCGCGCGGGCCGCGCACCGACGGGGGTCTGCGCCAACTTAGTACCGACGGGGGGGGGGGGGGGGCGGATGACCGCCCCCCTGAAATCTCGAGAACGAAGCAAGATAGCGACAAGCGTTAAACGGCATCGGATACGCACGGACAAGGTCTACAATGTTTACTAAGGTCTTTTTCAGGTCAGGTCAAAGATCTACCATAAAAAGGCAAAATGGCGGCGCTAGATATGTAGAGTTTTTCTCGAATAACTTTCGAGTTAGTCGAGATAAGAACAGACTAAGGGCATTACCGTGATCCTCTCGTCAATCCGCATCGAATGATATATATGTTAACCTCGAAAGGTCAAGGTCAAAGGTTGACCTCAGGTCACGTGGCCTTGAGGTCATCATGTATATCATTCGATGCGTCTTGACGAGCTGAACACAATGAGACCATCCGCGTGGTTGTATCTTGTTCCTGTACGGATTTATTGGCAAAAAACCTTTGGCGACCTTTGATGACGTCACATGACCTTACAGCTGCCCAACAGCAAACCAGACCTCAAGATAGTAAAAGTTGATCGTATATGAAGTCATGTATGGTATATGGGGTCATTCCGACCCGTTTTAGTGGCAAAAACAGGGAGTTGATTTTTCCCCATTGACTTGCCTATGTTAGGCCACAGGCAGCGTATCCATCAGTCGTGTATTGGTGCTCAATACAGGCATTGCACCAGCAGCAGCAGCACCAGCGGCAGCACCCGCGCGTGGCGGCTCCCCGGTCCAGAATGACCGCCGCCCCCGGCTGCGGCCGTGACCCCACGCCGCCGGTGGCAGCGGCGCGCCCAGCGGGAGGCGGCCCGCAGAGGCGCACCCAGCAGCGCGCCGAGAGGGACGCCTCACCCCGGCCACGCAACGCATACACAGCCAATACATAACAATACATAACCCAACACATCTCCCCCCTAAATAAATAGCGCCTTAGGCTGTAATTGTACACATGGAGGCGTCACTTCAGCGACAGCATGTTGGTGATGATGTCCACCACGCTGGCGAACCCCGCGCCGTCGGCGTATGCGACGCCGTGGGCGCAGGCGGCGGCGTCGAGAATCGAGCGCCGTCTGCGGTGTCGGAAAACGAGCGCCTTCAACGTGCGAGCATCGCCTCGAACTTCTCGGTGGCCTCCCAGCGACGTATGCCTGTCGGTAACGATCAGTTCAGGGCAAACCATACGGGTGACGATAATAACTAACTCACATACATTTATCAAATTTATGCCTGTTAAGGGAGATCTCACAATCTGGAGACTATTCGAACGACATGAGGACTTTCATAATGCTTTTTTTACGGGTCAGGGTATCTAGCCGGTGGCCTGGAAATCCGTCCGTATCGTGTCACGTATGGACGGTTAGCGGGCATGTACGGTTGTTCCGTGACAGTTTCACCAGAACTCCAAACGAAACCAGGGAGCGGGGAACTGCTCTCAGATATAATGTTTGGGTCCTGACTCTGAGTGGTGTGCCCGTCGTCTGTCCGCCGCTCTGGCCGTTGGGGCGTAGCCGCGCGGTCCTCATCGTCATCCCGGCCTCGCAGCTTCACAGGTTTCAGGTGGTCATGGTGTATCCTGATAACCTTCCCACCAGGCATACTGACCTTATACGTGACTCCTTCCTCAGTTGGGCCTTGTTTCTCTATCACAGTCCCTGGTCCCTTGTAGTGCAATGCCAGCTTGCGTTTGCCTCCAGGACAAGTGGTGTGGTCCCTTACCCAGACCTTCTGACCCGGCATGTACGGTGTCTCTCGTGCTGACTGGTCGCGGGAATCCTTCATGTTGGCCGCTGCTTGCTCGATTTTTTCACGGACTTCTTCATGTGCATGGCGTAGCTGACGAAGCTTGTGTTCTAGGTAGGTGTCGACCATCGAAACCTCCTGACGTGTTCTGAATAGCTCATCGACGGGAAGGCGAGCTTCACGTCCGTGCACCAGAAAGAAAGGCGTGAAACCGGTCACCGAGTGCCTGGACGTGTTGTAGGCGAATGTGAGGGACGCCAAACGATCGTCCCAGTCGGACCCACATGGCTTGATGTATTTTGATGACATGTCTTTGAGCGTCCGATTGAATCGCTCTACCATTCCGTCGCTTTCTGGCCGATAAGGTGATGTGCGAGTCTTTTCTATGCCCATTCACTTACAGAGTGATTAGAAGACGGCCGATTCGAACTGTCGGCCTTGGTCGCTGTGGAGGCGCTCCGGTACCCCGTGGTGCAGTACCAAATGGAACATGCACTCGGAAACTGATTCAGCCGTTTGATTTGGCATGGCATATGTGGTCACATACTTGGTAAAATAATCCATAATGACTAGGGCGTATTTGTTTCCACGTGCGGATACTGGCATCTCGGTTATATCGACGGCCACTCTTTCGAATGGTCTCGAGTATGTCTCTGTTTGGATTGGTGCTTGCATTTTTGGCGTTGGTTCGTTCCTCCTCTGACACAATTCGCATGTTTCGCAGTGCTGGTTAACATCCTTGCTCATCCCTGTCCAAAAGAATCTAGCCGCCACTTTTTCCAAAGTGAGCGTCTTTCCCAAATGGCCTGAAGTCTCGTCGCCGTGCAACATCTCCAAAACCACCTTGCGATACGTTTTGGGGAGGAGCGTCACCGAATCGCTGTCGCTGCCCGATCTCTTTAGTTTCATGATGCCCTTATCTATGAACAGCTGGTCGAAAAAACGAGCCATCGTTCGTAGAGAGCTACTCTTTTTCTTGAGCTCCTTCCTTGGGGGTAGCTTCCCCGCTGCCAACCAGTTCTTGACTTCATTCAGGACGGGGTCCAGATCCTGTTCCAGCTCTAGCTTCCCGAGGGTAATTTCTTCCCGAGAGGCTTTGTGGTTGGCGGTTAAGAGCTCGCTGACTCCTGCATCAACTGTTGGATCGGTGAAGTCGGTGACAGGCCTCGACAGAGCATCGGCATTGCCGTTGTCACTACCCTTTCGGTACTCAACGACGAAGTCGTACGTGCTGAGCTCAACGGTCCATCGACCTCTCCTCCCAGTGGCATCGCCGTCAACGTTGATGGATTTCGGGATGTTTTTTAGGGGTTTGTGGTCGGACGTGATGGTGAATTTAGTGGCTGCGAGGTAGTGACGAAAATGTCTGATGGCCCACATGATCGCCCACAGCTCCTTGTCGTACGCTGGCCATCGTCGTTCGCTTTTGTTTAGCACTTTGCTGGCATACGCGACGACTCTCTCTTCGTCATCGACCATCTCTGTGAGAACAGCTCCCACCGCAGTGTTTGAGGCGTCAGTTGCGAGCCTGAACTCCCCTTTAAATGTCGGCAGGGTCAGGATTGGATGAGACGTCAGCTGTGTCTTGATGTTATCGAAGCTTTCTCTGAGCTCGTCAGTCCACTCGAGGTCACCTTTCTTTTCTGCGGCTTCTCGGATTGGACGCACCAGGTCGGAATAGTTTGGAACGAACCTGGAGTAGTATCCTGCCAGTCCCAGGAAGCTCTTTAGATCCTCTGCTTTTCGCGGTCTAGTCCAATTGCGCACCTTCTCTATGTTGGCTGGGTCTGGTTCGACGCCTCTCCTTCCCACCTTGTGTCCGAGGAACACCACCTCGTCTCGAGCCAAGCAGCACTTCCTTGGCTTTAGCTTCATTCCTGCTGCTCTTATCCTTTGAAATACTTCCTCCAGGTTCTTTAGATGTTCTCGTTCGCTCTCTCCAAACACGATTATGTCGTCGATATAGACGAGGCAGCTCTTGGAGTCCATTCCAGCCAGCACCAGCTCCATCAGCCGCTGGAACGTCGCTCCTGCCTTCTTCAGGCCGAACGGCATCGCTCGGAAGTGGTGGAGACCTTTTCCTGTGCTGAAAGCAGTCTTCTCCCTGTCCTTCTCGGCGACGTCAACCTGCCAGTAACCTGACGCCATGTCGAGAGTTGAGAAAAATTTTGCTTCGGCGAGGCTGTCGAGGCTCTCGTCCACCCTCGGCAAGGGAACTGGCAAGCTTTGTGTGACGGAGTTCACTGCTCGGAGATCGATGCAGAACCTGAAACTGCCGTCTTCCTTTTTCGCCAGGACAATTGGTGAGCACCAAGGGCTGGAACTTTCTTCAATGATCCCTTCTTCAAGCATCTTTTCTTTTTGTCGTTCCACCTCCTCTCTCAGCTTTACTGGGATT